AAATATATGCTATAAATAAAAATAATAAACACTATAAAACTACAAATATGCATTTAACTACATGCATCTAATAGGTAAAAATGTTGATATATGCAAAATACAATTATTGATATTTTAAWAAGAATGATCTAAATCAGGGACAATTTTCATCAGATTTCAAAAATCTTATTCCAATATGTGTTTGTATCATAAATAATTGACGACTAAAATATCGAAATTTATAATATTAACAACAATAATAAGATTTATTTTAACGCAACAAAATCGATTATTAACTCATATAACAGTTATAACTCTCTCTTAAACTTGATTTTAAATTGTAAAATTAAAGAAGTCAATAAGATTTATTTAAGGAATTTATATGACCAAAGCTAAAAAACACTGACATAGTGACTAATTGTAAAGAAACGCTAGATTACCAATTACACTTAAGAGGCGCTATACCCACACGTAKTGTTGTCTCCGTCTTACAAGTACGTAACATAGCAAATCTTCGTTTAGCTCCGTTAGATTAAAAATGAAAATTAATTAACATACTAAACATTTTAAAGATAATAAGAATAATATTATATGTATTCGTATGTTGGGGTTTTACGATAGTTCAAATTTTGCATGTTTTGAGTACCTATATAATATAGCGTAAATTAAAATGCTTCTAATACACTAGAAAAACTGAACGGAGGTTAATTGTTTTTAAACTAACAAAGTTAACGTTATGTGTTGAACGTAAATTTGATATGTTACGCACTTGCAAGACCGAGATAACACATATGCGGGTATGGCGTTCTCTCAATTCTCTACAAATAATACRCGTATTTATTTTTATTAAATAACAAAACAATAATAATAATTAATAACCAATTGTCTGTTAAAAGCCATTTTGAATAGCTAAATTATTAAATAGTAATCCCAAATATTAAATAACAGAAATATTTAATTTTCATAAAAAAAAAAATTAACATGATGTACTTTAAGTAAAAATATTACAATTAGTTAAATTCTTAAATTGAAGGGGACTATAAGAAATTCAGAAACCAATTTTTATCCGAAAACCAGGCCTTTGATTAAAATAAGAATTACGAGTACACCTGTAAAACAACAACACAAGGTTAGCCCGTACAGGAAATATATTATTTAGAGCTGTATGGTTTTTATTTTCTGTATAAAAGTACTTCCTAAGCTATATTTAAAGTTTTATTTTGAAAATTTCTAAAAATAGAATTATCTGGACACTGGACGGACCCCTCCCCTTCAATTTACATAATATTTTGAAATAAATGAAAATTTTTTAAATAATTTATCAATAYTGAATTAATTTAACGAAAGTGACTTAAGTAAAAGATAACTTACTTTCGCACTTTATTTACTTTAATGTGTTATAATATAGAAAAAATAAAAATAAATTATTTTGTCATTGAATTATTAAAGTGAGTTAGTGAAGAGAAAAAAATAAAATGAAATATGATGTCACAATAGTTAATATTTAATCTGTTGGTTAAACACAAGCCTTATAACTTTATATACAGKCGAATACTCTTATTTTTTGAATTAACAAATGACCTTATCAAACAAATCGTTTATGATTAAATGTCTAAATTGTGTAGTAACAAGAAATATTAAGACTAATGTGAGTATAATAATGTATTGTAATATCATTGTGTTTCGTTTGAAAAGAAGAATGGGTAACTACCGTTATATTGAGGCGTTTAACTATGTTCGAACATGGAATGTAATATAGTCCATATGGGATGTRAATCAAATAAATTACTTACATGCTTTTGACGCTGCTTCACCGACACCAGCATCCTCTAGTCTTTTCAAGAGATATACATAAGTCACTGAATAGGAATTGATAAAACTAAAAACAAGACCATTCACTAAGAAACTGGCTAACACTACGATACACGACCGTATAGTAGCTTCAGGTAATACCCTTTCTTGGTTGTTCATTTTTAAAAATGTATATAGATGTAGTGGCAAATTGAAAATATCAACCTAAAAAACATAAATATAAAAGTATTAAATAAAACGAATTTTTGTATACAATATTTAACATAAAAGCAATGAATAAGAAACACAAATAATGATAACACACTCTACACTTCTACAGCGTAGCAAATTATGAGTATAATATACCATTATAATTAATTGAAAACATTTGGGGATTTTATATTTTTAAAATATTTTGATAAGTTACTATGAATAATTTATAATTACGTCTAATGAATGTATTTATAAATCTATACAATATTTTGTTTTATTTTTTGATGTTCTAGAACAGGGTCTTTCGAGCTTTTTGGATCTTAAGTCGCGACTCTCCAGTTTCCATGCAAAAATTAATATTTTATGTTCAAAAACAATATTTTAAAATATAAAAAAATTTATATTGTATTAGTTTTGGTGCTTTTGAAAATATGAAATAATACATAACAATAATTTGATACTTAAAACAACAACTAATGAGCCAGACTTAACAAACTTTCAAAGACATACAAAGCCAATATTCCCATTGATGTAACTCTTTATATATTTATATCTTAATGTATCGCTTTTGATGTAACCGATTAATTAATAACTGTGAAATTGAATAATTATAGCTGTTAAAATTTAAAAATAAAATTATTTTAAAAATATTATGAAAATTTTTAGTGATGGCTCTTTAAAGTCAGAAAAATTTTGTACATTGTAACTTTTGGCTATTCCGTCAAAAAAGGTTGCCGACCACTGTTCTATAACTTCAACAAATATCTAATTTCATGAAATTATTTTATAGTTTTATACAATAACAACTTGAATTGTAGGTTAGGCCAGTATAGGTTACTACCAGTAGATTACTTTTTTTATTAATTTCCTAATAAATTATCATTTTAGTTTGTATTAATAATAATTATAATGAGATGGACATTTTTTCTAAATTTAAATCACAATAACTGTTATACTTTAATTTAGTTTGGCTTATATTATTTCACAACATATTAATTAAGTATATTTTATACATCTCTTTTTGTTAATGATCATTATAATATATTGTTTTTTATTTTTGTTATTGTATCTATGGATAATTGTTGAGCTATTATAGTTTTGTACTAAAAGCTAGTAAAAAAAAAAACTGTTATTCTTTAATAACGTTAAATATGTTGGGTGTATAAATGTTGAATGCAATTACTGGGAGTTCTAAAGCTCATAAATCATAATTAGATTCCATAATATTGAGTTATACAATTAATGCATGTCATGAAATGTAATTAGTATTTCACTATATTTAAACTATTTAAAAAGAATCAAAATAAAGTTAGAGTGACAAAATTCACTGTATAATATATAATAATATAATTTTTATATTATTCAAAACATTTTTTTCTCCAAACAAATTCAATAATTTTAATTTTAATAATAGTACCTAGTTTATACTTTATTGTTATTTATTAGATTCATAACAAAATATAATATTATACAACGATACAAAATAATATCACAGAATATATTCTGTGATAATATCATCAATTTATGGGTTCATTAAACTTTCTACGAATATAAATATTTGTTTAGTAGTATATTTTAATGTAAATTGTAGAAAAAATAATTTTATAAAATAAGTAAGAGCTAAAATAAAGTAATACGTTAAAAATTGACATGATAATATTATTGATTTTTTTACATTATATGCCATTATGTATTTATGTAATATCCAAGAGTTAAATCCAAGAGATAAATCACACTGATTGAAAACATGGTATATAATGCTTGTTCAGTAATATCAAAAATATTTATGTATTTTCCATATTTTCCATATTTTTCTTATTTATTCATTAAAAAAATGATTACATTTCGGAGGCTATATAACACGATTGAGCATAAAAACTCTGCGATGTTGCTATTTTAAATTTTGAACTATACCATACAAAAAATATTTACTTAAATAACTATTATTATTCAAAACATGATTTAAGTTAAAAGTTTCCAATAGAATTGTTATATTATTATATCTATATTGAAAAAAAATTATTTTAATGTACTGAGTGACAAATAGCTGGTGATCGAACAATACCAGTATAAACAAAGATATTTATCAGGGTATTTGTGAAATGGTTGAGGTAACTAGTWTATGCGTACTCAGTGTACCCAATGAAGATATTTTTGAAATTTTTTTCAATCTTCAAAGTCTGGGTTCATTCATCTTATTTTTAGAACATTATCGTAAATGTGAAAATTAACACCCAAGTTGTATTATTTGCAAAATTCACATACGAATYGAGGTGTCAGCGCGTTTTTATGCTCGAATCGCCGACTAAAAAAAAATTGTGTGACACGTCRATTCGTATGATAAAACTACAAGGTAAACATTGGTGATAGTTATTTATTGTCATTTAACATACATGATCAATCAGTGCATTAATTTACATTGCGTCAACTAATAAAGATAAAATAACAAAACTAGTGTCGATAGAGTTGTAAATGATTGAATTTAACTAATTTAAGTTGGGTATGTTTTTTAGATGTAAAGGTAATGAAATATGGTAACTTGTACCCGCAATTWCATAAGTCATAAGTTAGAGATAAATGAGACTAACTATTGTTGTGTTCTTATTTATACTGAAATTTCAGTTTTTGGATATCGCAGTAACATAATTATTTTTACTCGATAAGATAAACTTTTCCTTTTGTACTTATGGTAAATGACAGCAAATAACTATCATCAATGTGGTGTCACCTCGATTCGTATGAGAATTTTGCAAAAATACAACTTGAGTGTTCATTTTCACATTTAAGATAATGTTCTAAAAATAAGATGAATAAACCCAGATTTTGAAGATATAGAAAAAAAAATCTTCATTGGGTCATCACACCGAGCACGCATAGGTATACTATAGTTACCTCAACCACTTTAGAAACACCTGTATATGATTTTGGAATAGTTACTTATCTTATTTATCTTATATTTCCCCTCCCCCCAATAATAAATATTTAGAATTTGGSATCTATAACATTTAGCACATTACGTATAAAACTAATATTTATTATTCGTGAACTAATTTATCAATCAATAAATAATCGACTACGTCGATAAAGCTAGACTCGACTCATGACTCGTTTAAATTTGGTATCATATCATTATAATTATCGGTAATAATACATGAAAATAATAAATTACAAAACATAGACAAAGTGAATGTGGCAACGTCGCATAAAATATTCAATGCTCGATCATGTTGCTAATAACTAATAAGGTATTCGTATTATTATTATGCTCAATCGTACTTTGCCAGTTTCGGGGTTTGTTGTGCGTATAATCAATATCACACATAACTTTAAAGTTGTAAGTCAATATCACGTACAAATTGACTTTATTGACTTATGTGATTATGTGAACTATGATTAGCTTATAATTTGTAAATTTCATGGTGTAATATAGAACACAATATTACACGTCCCAAGTATGAAATTTAGGCATACAAATTGAAAATTGTATAAATTCACAGCTATAAAACACATTTTTTCTTATTTCGACGAACTTTGAAACAAATTTAAAATAAATTTTACTAATGTATAATAATATGTAATGAACAAATATAATAATTATTTTTCAGTTTTCATAAAAATTAGTGTTAAATAGAGTAGAATTTTATCTAGCAAACGAAATTGCGTAAATCATTTTTAAAAATAATTTACTATTTATTATTGAACTGGAATTCAAATTTAACACGTCTTCCACTTTAGCGACTATTCAATGGTTATATTTATATACACTCAAAACCGATCATGTAAAACCTTAACAGCAGAATTGCAGAGAGACTTTTAAGGTTTTATTTTGTTAATTATAAAAAATGTGTAAATGTGATAGGTAGTACATACTACATACTGAAGAATATAATGGAAATACTTATAAATGAAATATATATATAGTGTGTGTGGGYAAACTGATGGTATTAAAAATAAGTCATCTTTTTATTTTTTGCTTGAATTATTTATGTTAGCCTTTTAGATTTTATTTTATTTATTTATTTGATAACGAGATAAAGAAATACATTACAATGAATAATRGATATAATATATCAATATAGATATATGATAATTTTGTAATAATGCGTATCTACGTGTTTGGTTTAATTAATCAAGCAAAAATTTTATTTTGAACGTTTATTTAATGCTCTTCTTAAAAAATTAATTTTTTGCAACATAATTAATGTCAGATATTTATCTAATAATTGGGTATCGTAGTACAAGTATACACAACCGTACACAACTAATATAGGTAATATTCATACAATTTCATAGATACYACCTAGTCTATATACAGGATGTCCCGTGAGGATATATCCATTAGCTGTAGAGGGGACTCCCAGTCTGGATAAAAACCATTTTATTTATAAATTAAAAAAATCATTAAAAAACATGTGATTAATGGAAATAAAATGTTGGAAAGTCAACATTTTCAGCTAAATAAACTCTATAAAATAGGTATCTTTATTTTTTTCAAACATTTAATAAAATTTAAAAAAAATACAATATGTAACCCCTTTTTATGCGAGTCTAATAAAAAACAAATTTACGATATATTGATTATCTCAGGAGATATCACAATGAGTAAATCTTCGCGAAACAACACTCTGTACACTAAATTGTTCAAATTGTAACTTATATAAATTTAAATTTAAACAAATTTGGCACACCATTCGTTTATAGATATAMATAATTGCAAAATATACAACACATACACTTTAAAGAATCTATTATACAATAATGCAATAATTGTTACGTTAATAACTTAATTTGAAATACATCAAAATCACGATTTGTTTATTCTATTTATACATTATATAATTATTCATATTATAATATAATAAATGATCATTATGCATACATTCATTAATTATAAATATATACAATATTTTACACGATACGTCAATAGGCAGCTAGAACTAATAAAACTATACATCAAATATTCAAATCTTTGACCATTAATTGAAGTGTAGTAAAGTTTACATTCGTAAAAA